ACCTTAAATAGAGAAATTCAACTTTAAAATTTTCTGAGGAAACTAAAAGCAAAAGGTTTTTTCGATGATTCCACATACAACAGAATTTATTCTTCCGGATACCATCCTGCTTGTATCTATGGTCTTCCAAAGATGCACAAGTTAACTTCCTCCGAGGCTACCATAAACTTCAGACCTATTGTATCATCTATTGGTAACTACATATATCAACTAGCCAAATTTCTTAGAGATTTGTTATCTCACAAAAAATGTCAGGTTAATCTACATAAACAATTTTTAGTATGGTATGATGTAACCAGCTTATATACTAATGTTCCACTTCAAGAAACCATTGATACTGCAGTTAATTTGATTATGCTGAATAATAAAAAAATTTAAATTCCTAAAAACCATTAAAAAAAAACTATTTAATTTTGCTACCTCACAAACACATTTTCTTTTTAAAAGACATACTTATGATCAAATAGATGGTCTAGCCATGGGCTCTCCATCTGCACATGTTCTTGCCAATTTGTTTATGGGTCATTTTGAAAATGACTGGATTAAAAATTGCAATGTTGTTAAACTAGTTTTCTATAAACGATATGTTGATGACATTTTTGCTGCTTTTCAGTCAGAAAATGAAGCACGTATTTTCCTTAATTATATAAATAGTAGACACAATTCTATTTCTTTCACCATGAAACAAGAAGTGAATTTGAAAATATCCTTCTTGGACGTAACTTTACACAAAATAAATTCTACAGTAACTACTACAGTTTTTCATAAAAAAACCTACTCTGGTCTACACACCAATTTTTATAATTTCACTCCGCTTTCGTAGAGTCAGTCTTATTAAATGCTTAATCGATAGAACATTCAAAATCAATAGTATTAATCTAGGGTTTAACTCCGACATGAACAACCTTTTCAAAGTATTTCAAAGAAACATGTATCCATCTTTATATATATGTATATATATATATATATATATATATATATATATATATATATATATATATATATATATATATATATATATATATATATATATATATATATATATATATATATATATATATATAATAGTAAACACGCTTATCTAATTTTTCATCTATCAACAACTTGTTTCTCCATCAGTAGGTTCATCAGAAAGAATTTCTAAACATCAAAAATTCAAATTTTAAAAAAAATATTTCACAGGAAGTTGAGAATTGTTATAATTATATAATAACTGTAGTTATTTTGCAACCAGGAAGTTGCATCAACTACATTAAAATCAAATAATTAATTATGAAGAGGATTCTTTAGAATTGGGATAGTTTAGACATAAGTTTTTATAATTTTTTAAAAGGTACTTATATTCATGTCTGCATTTAGAAATTAGTTCAGATTTTTTGTTTAGTAAATTTTTTTTATCCATATGATTGAATAATTTCAAATTTTTCTCGTATACATTTTTTGGAAATGTTATTTTTGGCAGGTGCAAATTTTTAGAACAGACCAGTTTAATTTAAAATTAATTTTTATTATTTTAGTTGCTAATATATTTTGAAAACATAGTCAAAACATTTTTTTCATACGCCCTTGGTTGAGCCAATCTATTGTTTATCAGGGTTATTTTGTGAGATAACGATGCATTTGTAACTAATTTTTTGATAACCATTTGCCATTCATAGGGCAGTCAGTTTTTTGTTTGAAATTACAATTTTCAGTATTTTTTTTTTCTTTAATGGGGTCCCCAAGTGTAAGGGACCCCATTAAAGTAGCCTATATACTCAAGAAGGCGACATACGTGTGATTGTTTTTGATTGATTGTTCGATTTGTATAGTTTTTGACGCCACGTTTTGGCCAACAAAAAAAAACAACTAACTGCGACTGAACTTCAATGTCAATAACTGAACGGAATGTCAATAACTGAAAGTGGTAACTATGATACATATCAAGCTCATTCTATGGAATTGTTACATTATACTATAATTTCAAGGCCATAATTTATGGTCAAGCTAACCATACTTTAGTTTTTATGCTTAGATATTAGGAATATCTCTGAGATAAAAATAAACTGTAACATTAATATAGTGAAAGTTCTGTTTATAAAGGTGCAAATAACCAGTCAATGTAGAGATCTTTTAGCATAAGCTGTAGTAAAAGTTATACTTTTTCCAGTTTAAATAAACATCCATGTTACTCAAATTCTATTGATTTTTTAGCAAACATGCTTCATTTATTGAAGAATACAAGAACATCTCTCTCACAAACCTTTCATAATTACAGCTGGAATTCAAAAAATACATATACTTCTAGCACTAGTTATAGATTCAAAATTCTTGCACAAGCTTATTGACATTCTAAATATGGATTTGATGTTTACTTATAAATTTAGCATCTTGATGAAAAACATTTGATGTTTACTTATAAACTTAGCATCTTGATGAAAAACAATTAATAATACAAAACAAAAGTATCAAGAGTATTATATTGTAATAAATTATAATATAAATTGTGAATTAAAATTTA